TACTGAGTTTTCTCAAGTGAGTTAAAAAAAGAAATTCTGTTCATTGAAGAAATCACTTCAGTATAGGAGTTGATATCTCAGACGTTTTGCTGTCAGCACTTCAAGTGTTTCAGGAATCTCTCTCTTGGACTCAGCTTCCAGAGCAATGATTGTGGTTTTGTAGCAGCTGCTCTCTGCAGGCCCTATGTTAGCCCTGGTAGGTACAGGAATACACTGAATGCTCGGAGTGTGGCTGGGAGGTAGATTCTCTCTTCCTTGGCATATCTCTAGGAAACTCTGCTGCTAATTGTCATACACCTTTAGAAATCCAAAGACTAGTGCTTATTTTTTAAAATAAAATCTGCCAAAATCTTTCAAGAACAACTTTTCCTACTTGAGTATATTGAAAAGAAAGTGCTTAGTAATTCTAAAAGAGAAAATTATAATGGATAACGACAGCAGTATTACCACTGCTCATTTAACATAAATGTATTATATATTAGTTTGTCAAGAAAGTCATGGCACATTTTTGTATAGAAAACTTTTCCCACAGTCCAGTGTAGAACTGTTTAGGTTTTTGTCACAGAGGATGTGCACTTGCTGGAGAGAGACAGAGAGAAGGAAAGTGAGAAATCACCCCCTGAGGGTGGGGTAATGGCCACACCTCAACCCCTTCTGTATTCTCCTCTCAAGATTTTGGGCAGGGACTAGCAGTTGATGTAATGGCTATGTCACTGGACTCCCATGTAGTTGACCGCGGTTCGCGTCCCGTGGCTTAAACTCATGCCGGGCACGTATGCATGTGTGCCCAAGATCCTGAGAGGAGAATGGAGGAGAAGGGATTGTGGCATGGCCATCCCCCCTGGGGGGTGATTACGCGCTTTCTGTCTCTCTGTCTGTCTGGTGAGCGCATGCACCCTATGGCAAAAACCTCTCCAAAAAAAAGATTTTGGGGCATACATGCACTTGCACCCAGCATGATTTTCAGACCTCTAGGTTTGCTATTCATACTGTGGTCGACCCTGTAGGAGTCCAGCACCTTAATCACCACACCACCTGCTGGCCCATAAGTGTTATATTTTAATAGAATATTTTTAAAGAAAGTTGCCAGAATAACTATTAAAGTACAAAACTCACTTAGAATATTCAAGTTCTGTCCTTCCTGTTTAAACATTACTCTTAGCACTACAGGGTCATACCCATTATGCATGTATGCTGTGTATACATTAAACATATTTAACATTTGAACTTTATTCAAAACCTGAGAAGAGTTACAGAGGATCCTGGTTTTTTTTGTTTGTTTGTTTTGTTTTTTTCTTTTTTTGGAGAGGTTTTTGCTATAGGGCGGGTGCGCTCGCCAGACAGACAGAGAGACAGAAAGACAGAAAGCAAGAAATCACCCCCCAGGAGGGATGGCAACGCCGCAATCCCTTCTCCTCCATTCTCCTCTTGGGATCCTGGGCACGCACGCACACATGCCCGGCATGAGTTTAAGCCACCAGATCCAGAACTCGAACCGCGGTCGACTACGTGGGAGTCCAGCGACATAGCCATTATGCTAACTGCTGGTCCCAGAGGGTCTTGTTTTTTAATGCAGAACTTAACTTTATTCAGCTATTCTCAAGGCTAGTCTTATGTTGTAGATGTTCCCATTTTGTGGAGTTAATTATACTAAAGAGCCCATTTGTGCATTTTTCTCATCATTTATTGCTTCATATCATAGGATTTTATGAGACCACCAACAGGGTTGCAACACCATCTACTAGACAATGGGAAATAGAATTCAGCCATGGAAGGGTTATACAAGGCCTCTGTCATCACAGAAAGTTCATTCTCTTACTGGAGGGAGATAAATATTATACCTTAAACTTACATAAATCATGGGCAAGATCACTTTAGGGAGTGGCCTTACTATGGGAAAAACAGAATGAAGTGTATGTGAGAGTAGCCCCTGGGTGGGCCAAGGATACGTATTGGGTTGTCTGAAAAGTCATGACGTTTTCCTATGCAAAAATGCATCATGACTTTCCTGACACCCCAATACACAGCTTTAAATTTCCATAGAAGATTTCTTGGAGAAGGAGGTTTTAAATCTGAGCCTGTGTAAGAAGCAGAAACTAGACATCTGAAGAAATTGGGAGAGATTTCCAGGGAGAGGGATCGGCTAGTGCAGATGCCCCGAGCGGAGGCCAGGCGTGGTGAGATTTGTGTACACATCTGAGAACGTCTATGGTAACACTTGTGACAGATACTGCTCGGCCTGGAGGGGTATGAAAGGTCCTGTGTCCCACCCCACTCAGATTCAAGGAACTTTTCATCCCGTGTCCACTTTCTGTCATCTTTCTGAACCCCTCCGGTTGCTGGCTCAGACAGAATGCTTGTGCTGTGTGCTTTCCGCAGTCTCTGATTTACAGCAGCTTGTGTCTTCTGCATGCCTAGAATTCAAATGACCAAACTTGGTAAGACTGTGCGTCGAATAAAAGAGGAAAAAGTCTCCACATGAAGGTTGAAAGTACTCCCCTAGATTAACATTCCTACTGTTCAGTTGTGTAGAGACACCGAGGTTACTGTATTGCAAAATTTTAGACAGGTAAGATGATTAGAAATGAGCATATTCTCCTGTATTCATTTATTGGCTTATTCCTTCTCTCCTCCTCCACTGTTTTGAGTTATTCGACCTCGGGTGCATACTTAGAAATGTAAGCGCGTGTTTTATCAGACTTTTAATGGTTTGAGAGAGAATTTTATTGCCCGTGTTATCTGCCATTTTTCTCTTAGCCCTTATTTAATTTTACATATATGGCATTTCAGAGGAATTCAGTGCAGGTGTTACCTGGCAGTTAGGGAATGGAATGCCGTAGCATGTGTACACACGTGTCATTTCTAGAAGGAGCCTTGTTTGATCGAAGGATGATATCTCCTAGCTCTCTGAAACACAGGGCCTTTAAATGTGCATTTTACTTGACTTTTTGCCCCTGGCCAAACACTAGCACTTAAAGAAACGTGTCACCCCTTCACTTACCTGAGACTGTCACTGTCAAATGAGGATGCTGATGAGACCTTTAGAAGCAGGTGCGTGGACTTGACCTCCCGTGAGTTCATAGACTGTTGGTAAAACATTCAACATAAAATCTGAGACTTTAATCCCCCTGCTCCCCCGATCTTCCCAAAAGGGGTAGGTAGGTGGTCTCATAAAATATTATGGGTGAGATTTTTCCACACCCCTTTGCTCATTTGTAGTCCTTCACTCCAGGTGTGCACAGAATTAAGGCCTAGTCACTCATTTCTCTTTGAGGAGACCCATTCTTGTGTGATTATTACTCCCCAAAGCTGAACTGATGGGTTATTTGATTCCAGAAGCTTGTCTTTGTTTCTTGAAAAATACTTCAGAAATGGTAAGAAACCAGGAAACTTGGACATCCCTTCCTACAATGCATAGGCGGCGTGGTTGGTTGAAAAGCTATTTTTTCTTATGTGGTACGGGACATTTGGCAAGCTGTCTTACTTCTCTAAAGCCCAGGGTTTTTTTCATCAAAACAAATGGTGTGCTTTCTTTTTTGTGTGCACTCGGTATATATAGACAATGGTGGTTATTAATATTATTTTTTTTGTTTTGACCATAGGGCACATGCAGTTGCTGGAGAGGAGAGAGACAGAGAGAGGGAAAGTGAGGAATCACTGCCCCTTCCCCCCGAGGAGGATGGCCACACCACAGTCCCTTACGTCCGTTCTCTCAGAATTTTGGGCATGCACACACACACACTCACCTGGAGTAATTTTTCAAGCTGCTGGGTGATTTGCTCAAACTGTGGTCAGCCATCTGGGAATCCTGCACCATAAGCAGCACACTCCCTGCTGGCCCCCAGTGTGCTGAATTTCAACAACCTAAACATAATTGTATATGCAGCACCTGACTGAGAATCAACATCAGCAGTTCCCTAGAAGCCCCCTCCTTGTAGCACAAGTAGGTCGATGTAGATGTATTGATTCATCATCTAAGAAATCATTTAAAAGCATTACTAAAAGGCCAGCTGGTAGCATGGTGGTTAAGGCACCCGAATCCCACATGGCCAACTGTGTGGCTCAAGTCCTAGATCCGGCAGCTTGATAAACATGCCAGACGTGTATGTGTGTGTGCCCCAGATCCCAAAAGGAGGGAGAAATGAAAAAGGGATTGGGTGGGATCATCTTCCAGGGGCTGTTTTCTCACCTCCCTCCTCTTGTCTCCCTCCTTCCAAAACATGTACCCTCTGGCAAATTAAAAAAAAAAAAAAAAAAAAACAGGGCTAGAATCATGGTAGCATTTTCCGTACTGTGTTATTTTAGTAAACAGATTTGTAAAATACAGTTGCCATATGTCATAGTTAGTTTTTGTTTTGTTTTTTTCTTAACTGAATGAAATCGTGAAATTTAAAAGCACTTACTGTACCCCCCCTTACATGTTTATTTCTGGCTGAAATTACCAGTAGGTAGGCAGACGTGTTTTGTTCCCTGGGTATCAGGCCTTACTGCCTTTCTTACCAGATTATAAATTCATGAGAGAAAGAAATAATTCTTAGAATTTCTTAGATGCCGTCTGTGTATACTTTATCTTGACGATGGACTGACTCCCAGGTTATCATGCACATAGCACTGAGCTTTGTGGGATGACTGCATTTATCCTGAAAACACGGCTACTGGATCTCAGGCACTTCCTGTCTCCAAAATGATTCTTTTTAATTTTTTTAAAGAATTATTTAACTTTATTTATTTTATCTGCTTATTTAATTTGGCGAGAGAGAGAGAAAGAGAAAGTGAGAAAGCAAGCTACCAGGTCCGGGACTCGAACTGTGGTCACCCATGTGGGAATCCAGCGCCCTTAACCACCACACCACTTGCCAGCCCCCTCTTTTTTTTTTTCATAAATATGTCGATTTTTCTCTTGCTTTGGTGCTCAGCTAAACAAATGCAGTATGCAATAGTTATTTATTTTTAATTTACCAGCATTTTTAACATCTTTTTTCTCTATTTTTTCCTTTTAGGCTCTAGACCAAGATAGAACAGCCCTGCAGAAAGTGAAGAAGTCTGTAAAAGCAATATATAATTCTGGTCAAGGTAAGCACTAAAGTAAATAATACGAATTATAAATATCATCCACAGAGTTTTCTCTGTTTTTGTGAGATGTGAAATTTGTGAAGACTTGATACACATAGAAAAGTAAGTAGAACAAAGTAATTCAGTTTTGCATTTTTCTCCCTCCTGTCTCTGTCAGCCCAAACTGACTTGTGTTTCAAAACTGGAAAAAAAGACAAAACATTCATTGCAATGGGTTTTATACATTGAAGAACTGAATAGAATTACATGTAACTTTGTCACAAGTGGCACGTTTAAAATCTCTGCGTGTGTGCATTTGGTCAGCGTGTGATACAGTAGCCTCAGTAATCATGTGACAGTCCTTCTCAGTGCACCTGTACACACTGGACAGTCAGTACGAAAGTCACAGGTGAAAGAGAAGGGGAAGGGTTAAATTCAGGCCTTGCCGGACCTGCCACCTACCTGAGGGTATGTAAGATAACCTGTGTAACGAAATATTTTAGCTTTAGCCCAGTGACTTTATCAACTTGGAGACAAAAGTATGTTGTTAGTGAAAAGAAGAAACAAAGCCAATTAAGGAAGACAAAGGGTCACTATAAGAAGGGGTCAGGCTGCAGCACTGCTGGGAAAGAAACATCGACTGAGTCTGGAGGTCTCTGAGTCACATCTTTGGTTGCGGGTATGGTAGCATCAGCTCACCTAGAAATTAGTTGTCTGTAACTTAACAGAAAACTGGGAGTGGAAGGCAACAGACTAGAATGTGAAGAGCAGGCCTTTGAAGTTGGACAATGTGGGATTTTGTCCTTGTGAAACCAGGCAAATTAGCAAGGTGACCGTGAGCTGATCACTTCCCTTTCTTGAACTTCCATTTTTCTCACCTATAAAATGGGGATGGTGGTATTATTTTAGAGTGGGAATGGGATTTAGAGAGCTAATATCTATAAAACACCTACCAGGCCATGGGAATTCAGTAACTTCTCGTTCCTCTTAATTTTATTACCGTAAAATTATAGAGGTAAAAGGGACGTGAACAAGGCAAAACTCAGTCCTCAGATCCTTTATGGCCCTTCCCCCTTGTCAGAGCTGGGAATCGCTAGCTAAATAAATTGGAAACCTAATAGTCTCGTGTCTTCTTTGAAACCCCCTAGGCTTTGAGACATTATATAATGCTCTCTGTTAACATTTTGCACCCTAGTGCCTTGATACACTACGAAATTTTTTTATATCCAATAAAATGTTAACTTCTAATTAGGTAGATAAATAATAGTTGTCTACTGAGTGAACAGATGTTTTATATCTTGCCCTAGATTGCACACCGAGCTTCAGAAAGTTCATGGAAAGTATATATATTATGAAAAAAACTATACATAGATTTCAATTTTTTTTTACACCAAAATACATTTATGCTTCGGTTTAATACCACAATAAACTCATACTTCACTAGCTTTCCGAAGTCCCTCAAATACCTCATTTAGAACTTCTTTCACTCCATTTTGATCAAGTCCTACAATGTGGTAGACCCCTTATAGATACTAGTTCTTCAGGGAGGTGAGTGGGTGAAGAGCTAGGAGTGGTCCACAGGGCAGGGGATTCTGAAGTGTGGATATTGTCCTGTTACTTCATTTTGCTGCCAGTTACATAGTTAAGTTCACTTTTGATTCATCAAGTGTTACACTTAAGATATATACATTTTTGTAGGTATACAGGACAATGTGCCCAAAAAAGAAAACAAACAACCAAAAAGACATCTACTTTAAATGTATGTACAAGGAGGTTCATTGCATCCTTGATTGCGATTTGGAAAAGCAGAAAATGATATTTGTTAAAAAAACAATAGCATATCTGGGACCAGCAGTTGACATAATGGCTATGTCATTGGACTCCCATGTAGAACCACAGTTCAAGTTCTGGACCCTTGTGCGTGTGCTTGTGTGCCCAAGATCCCAAGAGGAGAATGGAGGAGAAGGGATTGCAGCATGGCCATCCCCCTGGGGAGTGATTCCTCACTTTCTGTCTCTCTGTCTCTCTCTGTCTTTCTGGAGAGCGCATGTGCCCTATAGCAAAAAAACTCTAAAAAAAAAAGAAAGAAAGAAAAAAGAAACGATAACATATCTGTATAATAGAACACAGTATATCTTTTAAAAAGAAGCTCAAATAGCGAAGGTCTGAGTTTGAATCCGAGCTTTGTCAACTAAATTGCTTAACTTTCCGAAATCTTAAATTTTCTCGCCATAAAATTAGAAAGTAGTAGCTAATTTACCAGGTATTTTATGGACAAAATAAGAAAGCATTTAAGGCCCCTGATACACTGCCTGCCACATAGTAGGTCACTAAAAAATGGTACAATAATGGGGGAAAATATGGCTATTAATAGACTAGCGGCATGTGCGTCTTCTCTTTTTTAATTAATTATAAAGAGCTTAGTGAGCCATTATCCGCCCCAGGAATCTCTGTGCATCTCCGGGATGTAATGGTGCCTGGTTGAGCTTCTCATCTGTGAGCCTCAGAGCACAGACTTGCTTCACAGCTCTGAGGTACCTCCATATTTACTGTCCTGGGGGCTCCATATGATGCTTTCTCTTATAATTGCTCTTGCTCAAAATTGATTTTTGTCCTTTGACCATAATGACCACTTTGCCTGGCAGCTCCCATAAAGGCTTTTAAACTTTGGGATGTACTTCATGTCATTTCAGAGTTTCCTTGGTCACTACTGCCCTGGATATGACAGGAGGAAGAGACTGTCCCTGCACGGGTGTCAGGAGAATGTAAGGGATGTTTGGAGAGTTGGGGGCCACTTTCTCCACTAGGCTATAGTCTCCTTTGGATGGAGGCCACATCTCACTGAGCTTTGGATCCTGGGAGCCTAGGGTAGGGGCTCACCTCTTTGCTCCCCACCACATCTATACTATCTATTAAAATAGTGACTGTGGGGTTTTTCTATTTAATTAAAATCAAATAAAATTTAAAATTTAGTTCCTCAGTTGCCACATTTTGAGGGTCCAGAAGCTACTACCTATAGCCGATGGCTGCCCTCCTGGCAGTGCAGATGTGGAACATCTCCGTCACTGTGGAAGGTGTTCTCAGCAGTGCTGCTGTAGGAGGACATGCATCCCGCTGTATCGTGATTGCCGACCACCCGTCTTCTCCTTGACCACTGAGGCTCTCACCATTGGCTATTCATTAACATCACCAGAAAAACTCCTAAAAACAAAATGAGACAGCCTCAAATCCACACCCCTAGAATTGTTCCAGAATAGGGCCCAAGTGTTGGGACTAAAACACAATTACTCCCCAAGTGATTCTCCCTTGCTGGAATTGAGAACCGCGGTACTGGCCTCTGATCTCCTTGATGAGAGCTCGTTCCATGTCTTCCATCTTTGTGTTTTGTGTATTTGTCAACATAACCCATTAGTTTGTTTAAACAGATATTTACTAAGCAACATTATGGGCTACTCTCCTGGGTGTTGGATGTGTGCAGCAAATGAGACAGTGTCTGCCTTCTTGAATTCTACAGTGAGAGAAAGATTACAGAGATCATCGAACTGGTTTATAATTAGAAACTATAATAGAAACTACAGTAAGGTAAACCTTACAGGGTACAAAGAGGAAAGTAAGATGGATCTGAGGTAGTGTGAGGAGGGTGCTCCTCTTGGAGGAAATTGCATTCAGTGGGAGTTTATTCTGTACTTGGCTAAGCCGAGCAAGCCTACGGGGTTAGTACCGTTATCCCCATTTTTAGGTGATGAGATGGAAGGTTGGAGAGACTTGTCTGTCAGTCAGAAAATAATGGGAAGAGAGCCCAGCTGGCCCCAGTTTTTCTGTTTATCGCTGGTCATTTCTTGTCCACTGTCTTGGCGGGGGTTCAACAAGTCTTGAATGAATCACTGCATGTTGGGTGGATGGGATGTTCCCTGTGGAAGCTTTCTGAGAATGACAGTTAAATTTCACTAATCATGAACACCCATGTATAAGTTCATCACATGTAAACTCCCACCTGTGCGACCCATGGACTGATTCAGTGGTTCCTGGAGGAACCACAGTAGGAGGAACCATGTTTATAACTTGGAAATGTGGGATCAGCTCAGAGCCTTCAGGGCTCCTTCCAGGCCACTGGGACCTACTTAGATTCCTGCAGTAACAAATGAGCACAGTAAAGCAAGGTTTTGGGTCAGCTTGTGTGGGCAGCACTATGACATTTGATTCTTATAAAATAGTTGGATGAGTAAGACACTGGTACTGCATATCTCTCCATGATACATGCTCAGTGGAATCCATGCTCTTCCCGTCCAAGGGCACTTGGCCTCGGCCAAAGAAGCCACAAGAGGCTGAACTTTGGTATTTGTTTCCCAATGTGTTTTCACAATATTCTTGTTTTCTCACAGTGCTTAAGTGACACAAAACCCATGTGATGTTCTTTCAAGATTTAAGAAGCAACTTTTATATTTCTGGTTTGAGATGACGAACCACCTACCTTCCCAAAGTGATTCGAAAGACGACTGAAAAGAGTCTTGCTCTTAAACTGTGTTATCGTTATCCATAGGCTTTTATCGGTATTAATTAGTAAACAGTGTAATCATGGAAAATTTTTTTGAAAAATCAAATCATCTCTGCGCAAGCCCCGTAGTTTGAAAATTGCCTTGGGGATTTTTTTCTCACTTCTTTGCTGTATATGAGGACATTTTCTGTAAACTGCTTGGATCAAGGGAAAATGCACCAAACTCTTCTGTTTGAGTTTTGAAATCTTAGTTACTAATCTATGAAATACATTGTTTCATGTTTACCTTAGTGGTTCTTCCCTTTTTTTCCTTCTCTCCCTCCCCCTACTTTGTATCAATGTATGTTTTTCATTTTGTTTTGTTTCAGTGATAGCATGTGAGCCTAAGTGAGAGAGAGAAAGAAGCCACCTCAGCAGGGTCTCATCCTGCTGCAGTTCGTTTTCCCCAGCCCCCTCACTCTTCAGTACCCGAGGCTCTGGGGAGAGCACCTGATGTATTTTCAGGCCAGCCCAGGAGGCTGAGCCT